ATTGGGATTATTCACATGCGGATGAATGAAAGGCTTCCTCTGTCATTAAACTCTGTTTAGCACACTGCTGGGACGCTGGGTCTGTATACAGTTACCTCTGCAGCTCAGAGCTAACCTCGACTGACTGAACCCCAAACCTGCATCTTCTCCAGAGACCGAGAACCCATGATGGACCGGACCTTAGCGTGCAGCATGGGGTCCGTCACATAAAACCTGTTCTGGTTCCCTCTAGCAGCGAAGAATGACCGACCAGAGGAAGCTGCTCCAACCGAACCCCAGGGGCTGATGGGATTTACATGAAGCTCGCTGAGCAAAGGTCAGCCTCGCTATTTTTAGCTCCCTCATTATTAGAAAAGCTTTTCTTCACCTCCTCAGCATCTGTCAGAGGCAAGAGCTGTTTTACTGCATGCAACAGATCCCAGTCTGTCTGGATAGAAACATGCTAACCATTATAATCAATAACAATCTGTTTATTGGTTGGTTCCCATTTTATTAATGAACAGAAAGGCTCTTCCTTGTGTATATTTTGCATTTTCACATATTTCACTTATCTCTGGATTTGTACATCTTGTTCATGGTCCTATTATTCTGCTCACAGCTATGGTGGAGGATTTTCACGTATTTTTGAAAAGACCCGCCCTCTCCGCGTAAAAAAAAAAAAAAATGCACAGGCACAACCCAGTACCCAGTCCCAGGAGGGAACACCTATTAAACGCATGCAAGAGCGAGCACGAACCCATTTCTCCTTGTCACTCATACAAGCCGAGTTTCCAAAAGAAGATTTGCAATTTTCCCACTATGTCAGACTCACCACTGGTAGGTGAAAATGAGGACGGCCTTATGTAAACACATCACCAGAATGATTGACAGTTAGGATGACCACTTATTTAGATGATCCACCCAGAAAAAGAACATCCTCTACTATAACTTTAAGATTAATATAGCATGTGTTAGCACTAAGGGTGTGTTGAAAACGCAGACTGGGTTTTTATCAGCATAGTATTTTTATATATAAATAAGTAGAAAGGAGTTGAGTTTTAATTTCCATTTTTCTTTTAGCATGAAAAATTGGGGATACGGAGTGAGAGTGTGAAGACACTGAGATGCATGAGTCTCACACCCAGTGGGTGAGAGTTGACACCCCAGGATACAGATGGAGGTCTACTCCTCTTCCATCAGCAGGCAGCATCTGTAACAGTTATTGCTAAGATAAAAATCACGAAGACGCTCCCTGCAAACTGCTACAGACCCAGCTGCTGTCTAATCCTGCGTTCACACCGGACGCAGCAGGAGCAGCAAAATCGCGTCTGCTGCGGTGCAAAAGTGGGTCTGACGCGCGTTGGGCGGAGCTACTCTATCCTTTCT